TGTGGGTGAAGGTCCAACATGCTGAAAGGAGAGAGGGATGGACGAGGAGGAATCACAGCATGACCATTCCCCAAGAGGGATGCTTTTCTCGCTTCCCCCACCCATTTCTCTCCAGCAAGTACACTCACCCTCTGGCAAAATTTTAAAAAAGAAATAAGCTAGAAATCTGACTGTGATTGCCCTGAATCTGCAGATCAGTCCAGGGAGTACTACAGTCTTGACAATGATTAATGAACATAGAATATTCTCCCAATTATTTAGATTGTTCTTAACGTCTTTCAACAATGCTTCGTAGTTTTCAGAGTATGAGTTTTCCATTTATTTTATTACATTTTGTTGCTAATTTTATTCTTTTTGGTGCTATTGTGAATGAAATTGTTTTCTTAATTTTGTTTTTGAACTGCAAGCATATAGGAATACATTGATTGTTACGTACTGATCTTATACTCAGCAATGTTGTCAAACTTATTCGTCCTAATAGTTTGGTTAGTGGATTCTCTAGGAGTCGTTGTCCATAGGACCTCTCATTAGTAAATGAAGAGTTTTACTTCTTCCTTCCCACTATGAATGCTTTGTATTTCTTTCTTTCTTTTTAAAATTTTTTTGCTTAATTGCCCTAGTTAGAACCTTCAGTACAATTTCAAATAGAAGTGGCAAGAACAAGCCTCCTTGTCAGATTCCCAATCTTAGAGGAAAGCCTGGCCCATGGCCCAGGTTGCTTCCCAAAGAACCCAAACTTAAGAGAGGGAGAGGCTGAGACCAGCAGTTGGCAAAATGACTATGTTGCTGGACTCCCATGTAGTTGACTGCAGTTCGAGTCCTGGACCTTGTGGCTTAAACTCACGCTGGGCATGTGTGTGTGCATGTGCCCAAGATCTCGCGAGGAGAATGGAGGAGAAGGGATAGCGGCATGGCCATGTCCTCTAGGAGGTGATTTCTTGCTTTCTGTCTCTCTGTCTCTCTCTCTGTCTTTCTGGAGAGAGTACACACCCTATAGCAAAAACCTCTCAAAAAAAAAAAAAAAGACAGAGAGGGATGGCTCCAGGGAGGGCCCAGCTGGACAAGTCCCTCCCACTCTCTGTCCTTCTCTTCCACAATGAGATGACACCAGTGCTGGTGCCACGCTTTGGACTTTCCAGCCTCCAGAACTGTGAGAATACAGTTCTCTATGCATTACCCAGTCTGTATTGTGGAATAGCCAGAAGACAGACCCAGAGCCTCCTCTCTCCCTGGCGCTCAATCCCAGGGCCTCGCCGAGCCTGAGCCCCGGGGACTGATACCCTCACTACTGTGAGGAGAGGAGCGTGAGCACCAGAACTGTGCTGTCAGTAGCTCTGCGTGAGTCAGCTGGCCCCTGCATTGTGCTCTTCTAGAGAGGAAGAGGCATGACAATTTGTAAGGCGATTGCTAGACAGAAATCAGAAGCAACCAGACATAACTCAGCGTAATTATTTCTGCATAATGACTTCTGCTACTTGATTCTGTCTCACGCGATGACTGTAATCTTTATCTGTCACTGGAAAGCTGGTGGCCAGCGAGCCCCTGTGGCTGAGCGATAGAGCCAGGAGGAAATTTGCAATCCGAGTTAATGGAGTGTTCCCTAGCAGCCTGGGAGTTCGTGCCTCCAAGGATGCTGGAATGATGGACCCTCTTCTGCTAGGAAGCCTGGTGTCAGAGCGGCCTGGCCTCCACCATGGGCCCTCTGCCTCCTCACATGGGGAAACTGAGAATGGCAGAGGCCACAGGCATGTCCAAGATCACTCAACAGCCGCACGCCTGGCACCAGAGTTTCCCCCCTGCCCTCCAACCACCCAGCTCTTTCCCCCTCAGACTGCAGTGGCCACCTGTCACTGAGCTGCACACGGGCATGCTGCTTCTGCAGGGCTACCCCTGCCCGGCTTGGGGGCGTGGAGCTATTGTACCCAGATGGCCACTGGACAGACGGGGGAGGGGGGGCCGTAGCCCTCGTGGTGATGAGGCAGAGGCGTGTCCTCCTGGAGGGGATCGGCCGGGTGCTCTGCTGCCTCCCTCAGGGTGCTGCCTTACGCTACCACGGCTTCTTCAGAGCTCCTCCCATTAGCCACAGGGGCCGGAAGTGTGCGCTCGGGTTTGGGGGGGGGGGTCTGTGTTTCAGGCATCGCATGTCCCGCTTAGCAGAGCGTGACCTGGGCCAGTGTCCCTGAGTGTCTCTCCTCCTCGGTGGGCCCTCTGCCGGGGCGGCGGGAAGGGGGGAGGGTAAAATGGCGACAGGCCTTGCCAGTTTGCTCTGTGCCCATGAGAGGACCCTAGACCCTGTGGGCCCCAATTTCTCTGCGTGTTGAAGCAGGGCTACAGAGCCCCGAGATGACCAGGCTGAGGTCTTTGGCTTGGAAGCACCCCGAGAAAATGTGGGCCGAGGTAGAGCACGGAGCGGTCAGGCTGCGGCTGGGAGGCTGGCCACGTGCCTGGTTTGAGTGTATGGTGCCCAGAAGCTGCCATACCGAGGTGGCCCCGCTGTGAACTGTGAACTTGGGGCAACAAGGATGTGTCACTGCAGGCTCATCCCGTGTGACAGGGGTGCAACCCTCTGGTGGGAGATGCTGGGCGTGTGGGCTGGGTGGATGGGACTTTTGCTGTGAACCTGACGCCGCCCTAAAAAATAAGGTCTAGGGCCAAGCCAATGGCCTAGCGGTATAGGGAGCCAGATTCCACGTGATCAACTGTGCTGTTCGAATCCCAGTCCCAGCAGCTTGAAAAACACACTGTGGGGGCCAGCCAGAGGCGTGGTGGTTAAGGTGCTGGACTCCCACATATTCAACTGCAGTTCAAGTCTCAGACCCGGTGACTTGAAAATCACACCAGGCGCATGAGCGTGGCCAGAATCTTCACAGGAGAATGGAGGAGAAGGGATTGTGGTGTGGCCATCCCCTCAGGGGGTGATTTCTCTTCACCGTCTCTCTCCAGCGAGTGCACACACCTTATGGCAAAAACCTTAGAGAAAAAGAAACACCATGCATGGTCCTGAAAGGATGGCGAAATGGAAGAGGAGGTGCAGTGTGACCACACCACATGAGGGGGTGCCTTATGCGTCTCTCCCTCTCAGTCTCTCAGTCTCTCTGTCTCTGGTGAGCACACATGCCTTCTGGCAGTTAAAAAAGCAAAGAAAAGGATCAGCAGTTAGCGTAATGTCTGTCGCTGGACTCCCATGTAGTCGGCCGTGGTTCGCGTCCCGGACCCAGTGGCTTAAAACTCTCGCCGGGCGCATGTGCGTGCGTGCCCAAGATCCCGAGAGGAGAATGAAGGAGAAGGGATTGCGGTGTGGCCATCCCCCCTGGGGGGTGATTTCTTGCTTCCTGTCTCTCTGTCTCTGTCTGGCTGGCGAGAGCACACGCCCTATAGCGAAAACCTCTCAAAAAAAAAAAAAAGGCAAAGAAAAAAGTCTATAAAACATGTGTTCACGACGCTGCCTGCTAGCACCTGGCCTTCCTGTGAGGTTCTGCTGGGAAGATGCATCATTTCTCTACCCCAGGTCTTGAATTTGAACAGAGTTTAAATTTCATAACTGGCCTATAAAATTCTATGTTAGGGAAACAGGGTCGAACTTTAATTCTGAACAAGATACACCCTGCGTCCAATAATATCCGATGCACTTCGGGACCACTTCTCCAGCGTGGGCTACCTCTGAGCGCCTGCTCTGAGCCGCCGGGCTCTGCGCGGATGCGGTAACAGGCTGCTGCGCTCCGGCTGCGGCAACTCACGGTCTGCAAGGTGGGAGGGCAGGAGGGAGAGAGACAGCCCCCACTGTGCGGGAGCCGGGGGAACCCCACGGGCACCCCGCACTGTGCTGGGCTGGGTCTCCTGGAGTGGACGAGCAGCTCAGCCAGCAAGTAGGCGTGCGTCGTGAGCAGCGCTGTGGGGGGAGCGGCCACATGTGAGGACGAGGTCACCAGGAATGGGAACGCGCTGCCCGTTAGGCCGAGAGACCAGCCCAGGGGAGAGGCCCCGTCCTGGCCCTGCCGCTCTGAGGATACAGGCCTGGAGCGAGTCGGCGTCTCCAGGCCTCAGCCTCCCATTCGTAAAATGGGGATAACGATCATACCCACTCCTGGGGCTGCTGGGAGCATGAAATTGCATAATGCAGACAAACGCAGGGACCGGGGCGGGGTGCCCGTGTGGGCCGTCACCCCAGTACTGTCATTGCATGCGTGTGTGTCATTACATGGGTGTGCGGGGCGCAGAGAGCGGCAGAGGAGGAGGTGAGCCCAGCGGCATCAGCCCCATGTGGAGGGCGTGGAGTGCTTGCATGAGTGCGGTTGAGGGGGGACTTACGTGGGGAGCGATAGGGCGCCCCAGATGCTATCGCCCAACGGCACGCGAGTTCCCCTTCTCAGTTAGCTTTGCAGCTCTGCAGGCCTCTGGTTGATGTCTGGAGATGCTTTCCGACTTCTCCATGCCCGCCGCCGAGCCCCGGGGTGGGCCCTGCACTTGGCTGGGAGGCACGGGGGCCGTGCAGGCCTGCGGGGGGAGGTGATGTCGGGCAAACCCGGCGGTGTCAGTAAAGAAACAAGGAAGTCAGGAGAGTGGGGGGGATCTGAAGGGGCCACAGCACACACTGAGCTGCCCTGGCCAGGCCTGAGTGCCCGCAAGTCCCCTGAAGCCACGTGGGCCCCGCACGAGCACGGCTGCCTCTGAGATGGCCTGGAGGGACTCGGTGGGGAGCGAGGCCACAACTGGGGCTTCTTCGCCTCCAAGGCCACGGCCACAGCCACGGCCACAGTTGCTCCCCCACAGAGGGGTGGTCAGCATCTTCCCCAGAGGCTTCTCCGCCGGTGCACAGGGGTCGCGAGCTGTACCACTGCGCAGAACGGCAGGGTGACGGAGCCAGGGCCTTCCCGTACCAGCCTGGGGCTCTCAGAGGCTGTCACCTGCCCACCAGGCACCACGAAGCCACCAGAGGGAAAGGAGGTGGGTCCTGGGCTGGGAGGGTCTGCATCCCGTGACCTGCCGGTGTTCTCTTCCAGGGGCATGGTCTAGTGGGCTGGTGGGAGACCAGGCACCCGCTCCGGAGGTCCGGACTCCTGCTCCATCCCGACCTCCGCTTGGCCTCAGGTAAGCCACTCCCAGAGGCCGACTGGCCTGGGGCGGGCAAGGACCGAGGCAGAAGGGGATGGTTTCTACCTGTGTGGCGACATGTCCCTGCCCAGCAGGAAGGACAAGGAGTTGGGGACACCCCACCCAGCGCCCAGAGGAGACTGGTTGGTAAACTGAGGCTCAGAGATGAAAGAGCCCAGCAGGCCGGGGGGCATCCCGGTTCTTGCCCCGACTGGCCAGGTCTCTCCAGGTAGATCCTTGGCCATTGGACTTCTGTTGGGGATTGTCCATGAGGGGAGTGAGGGGCTCAGAATCGTGGGGGTGAGCTGCAAGGAGGGCATGGGAGACGAGGCAGAGCACGGGTGTCCACTTCCTTGTCTGGGGGTCCCTTTGTCCCCCAGGCCTGAGCCTGCTTTCTCCCAGGCCCACCATGTCCCCGGCAAGAGACATGCCCAGGGTTAGTGCACGGGGCAGGGTGGGGCGGGCCTCCCACCTTGGCGCCCTCTGCTCCCTTCACCCCGACGGGCAGCCCCTGGTTCCAGGCTGGTTGCTGGCTCTGCCTCAGGTCCTCTCAGCACGCTCATCCCCCATTGTCCTCCCCGCACGCCTCCTCGAAAGCCCCCCCTCCATCCCACCAGCCTCTTCGTGGCCTCACCTCTCTCCTTGTCCATCTCAGCCAGGCCCTCTCTCATCGCCACACCAGGGCCTCTGCCGGATGGGCACCTCTGACAGCCTGGCTCACCCTGCCCCCTGCCCGGCAGCCTTCCCAGTCTGCTTGGTCGTCCTCTCCTGGGCTGCCCTTCCTACTCCCGAGAACACGACCCCAAGAGCTTCTCCCCCACCATAGCCCGTCCTGCCCCAGCTGGAAACGCCAGGCCCAGCCCGTCCCCCACGGAGGTGGGCAGGTGGCCCTGTGGGGGCTGCTCTTCCCGAGTGGCCGTTCAGTTCTGCCCTTGAGGGAGGACTTGTGTGGGGGTGGCAGGCAGGTCTGTGGCCTGGGCGTGCACCCGGATCTGGCTGTGCTGGAGCCAGTCCTCCTATCTCCATGGCTGGTAAAGCCTTCTCCGGGATCGAGGCCAGCCAGACCTGAACTGGAGTGCCGGGGCTCCTCCTCCCCCTCTTCCTGCTGTGGTCCCATGGTTACTACGATGGCTGCCGCCTCCCAGCGTCCTGCCAGGCCTTGGCTCCGTGCACATCGGCTGAGGCCCTGGATGGGCGTGTCTGATCAGGCGTGAGAGGCAGGAGGGAGCAGACTGCAGGGGGACGTGGGGACCCCACCCAGCCGGGCCAGGCATGGCCCTCAGCCCTCCTCACAGCTTGCCGTGGTGAGTCTGGGACGGTCTTTGCAGAGAACGGAAACCCTCCAGAACCTCACGGAGACTGATTGTGAGAACTTGAATGTTCTCGGCTCCGGCTCCGGAAGGGGAGACAACTGTAAATAATTCTCCTCTACCCACCCAGAGGTACCGTCTTTTAGCACAGCCGCGAGGCTCCAGCTTGGACCCCAAAGCTGTCCAAGGGCCACCACCTCATTCAGCTCCTCTGCAGCTCTTCAGGAAATGGAGCAGCAGGGTGGCCTGGGCACTGCCGGAGTGGCCAGGACAGCACTCCCCTTGGTGCTCAGCCGCACGCTAGTGTGGACAAGTGTGCAGATCCCGGGTGGGCGTCTCAGAGACCGTCCACGCTGGCTGTCCTCAGTGGACACTTGTGGTTGTGGGGCAGGGCTCCAGGAATGGGGAAATTCGTCCTGTGCTGAACGTCGGGGTTATTTTTAGGGCCACTTGGGATGACTTGGCAGTATCGCTTCCTACAGGCCTCCTTCCAGCCCTCGACCACGGCAGACCCCGAGGGCCTGTGTGCCTGTGTGTGCACGTGCTCACAGACGCCCTGCTGTGGGCAAGCACCCTGGGCCTGGCACTCTCCACACCGTGGGATCTGCGGAATCGCCGGAGCCCTTGTCCTGGCCCCTCTGCAGCCCCGTGGGGAGATTTCCTGCTCAGAGGGTGTCCTGAACACCCGCTCCAGGTCGGCTTCTGAGCGAGAAGTGGGTGCTGTGTCCACATCCCACGTGAGTGGGCCTGGCCTGGGCACCCACCTGTCTGGTAGGTGAGAGCCAGAGGTACAGGAAGGGAGCTCACCCACCAGCGTGTGCCCAGGACCGCAGGCGGGGCACGAATCAATGACCAGGCGGCCATGCGCCCCAGACCTGCCGGCGCCGGGGCTGGCTCTGCGCCTGGCCAGGGCTGCTCTGCCCCCTCTTCTACTGGGCCAGCTCCTGTGGTGGCCTCTCCAGGGTGCCAGCCCTGCTTCTTGTTTCCTCCTGCCGACTCTCTGAATGCTCTTGGACTGGGTGCAAATCTGTAGCTTAGAGACAACCCTAGGGAGGACTGGCAGGTGGCATGGTGGTTGAGGGTGCTGGACTCCCACATGGCTGACCACGGTTCGAGTCCCAGACCTGGCAGCTTGCTTTCTCACTTCTTCTCTCTCTTTCTCTCTCTCACTGTCCCTCCCTGGTCAAATTAAAAATAAATAAAGTTCAATGCATGACAGAAGGCACTCTGCTGGTTGTTCCTGGCTGCGGAGGGTCTCTGGCCTTCCACTGACGTCTGAGAGCGTTTGGGTCCGAAAGTGTTAGAAAGTTTGGAGGTGGGCGGGGTAAGGAAGCTGAAGTCTCGGCAGGGGCTCTAGATGGTGCCCACAGGCCCACAGTCTGCAGAGGCCTTGGAGACTGCGCAGGGAGTGCCCCTTCCCCCCAGGCCGGACCTCCGCCCGCCCTCCCTGCCTTCCTTCCTTCCTCTCCTCAAACAGTTGCTGCTCTCTGTTCCAGGCCCTGTGCTGATTGGCTCTGGGGTTATTCCTAGCCTCACCCTGCCTCACCCTGGGTAAACGGGGCCTGGCTCTGTGTCCTCGGGGAGAAGGGTCAGGAAAGGCCCAGGGTCCAGCCCTAAAGCCCAGGACATTCTGTTAGTTCATTCCGGTTTTGTGGCCCAGCACCCGAGCACGTGGCCGGCTCAGAGCAGGATCCAAGTCCACGTAGGAAGAGCTGGGGCTCGCCCTCCCAACCAGGAGCACATGCAGGGCTTCGCCCACTTCCGTGCCCCTGGCCCTGCGCGCCGTGGTTTCCACTCTGCAGGGGCTCTGTGAACGCGTGGCAACCCGCACTTGCCCTGCGTGGGTGTGGGTATTGTCCTGGCTTTCCCTGCAGGAGCTGCGGCTTCTGGTATATAAAATGACAAAGGATGGGGCCAGCAGGTGGTGTGGTGGTTAAGGTGCTGGACTCCCACGCTCCAGCCCATGGTTTGAGTCCCAGATCCAGCAGCTTGAAACTTAGGCCAGGCGCATATGCGTGCGTGCCCAAGATCCCCAGAGGAGAATCAAGGAGAAGGGATTGTGATGTGGCTATCCTCCTGGCAGCTGGGGGGCGCGGGGGGTGATTTCTCACTTTCTGTCTCTGTTTCTCTCTGTCTCTGTGCCCTATAGCAAAACGCTCTCAAAAATAAATAAATAAGATTAGCGGGACCAGCAGATGATACAATGGTTATGTTGCTGGACTCCCACATAGTTGACCATGGTTCAAGTCCTGGACCCGTCGGTTTTAAACTCAGCTGGGTGTGTGTGCGTACGTGCCCAAAATTCCAAGAGGAGGATGGAGGAGAGGGGATTTGTGGTGTGATCACCCCCTGGGGGATTTCTTGCTTTCTGTCTCTCTGTCTCAGTCTCTCTGGAGAGTACACACACCCTCTGGCAAAAATCTCTCTTAAACAAAAATGGCAAAGGACGAGCCCAGCAGATGGTATGGTGGTTAGGCTGCTGGATTCCCACGTGGCTGACGTGGTTCAACTCTCAGACCCAGCGGCTTGAAAATCGTACCAGGTGCGTGTGTGTGTGTGCCCAAACTGAGGAGAGACTAGAGAAGGGATTGCGTCATGGCTATCCCCCTTGGGGAATGATTTCTCTCTTCCCCTCCCTCTGCCTCTCCAGCAAGCTCACGCACCCTGGGGCAAGAACCTTTAAAAAAAAGATAAAGGGCAGCCATTATGAGCTGTCCCCTCCTGATTGTGACACACTCTAATGACAACCCACGACTGCAGCATCCGGGGCCCTGGAGGCAGCCGGCTTCTCGCCGTCCTCATGCCTGGCGTTTAAGCGGTCTGATGCCATTTTACTGGGAATGACTTACTGTTTTTATTTGTTCTCGGGGACATTAAGCATGAATCACATAGCACATGAGATGGGTCACTAGAGGTTTTCTTCCAAATTTAAGAAAAACAAGAAGCCTGTGGCCTGGCGCTCTGAGCCGCAGTGGGCACGGGGGCCCGGTTGCTGGCAGGAGCCTTCCCTCTGTGAGCCCGGCACGGCTGACAGGTTACAGAGTGGGCCTTGCCCTGAGTACGGAGCCATGGGCGGCCGGCACAGAACCCCCAGGAGGGCCCGCATGTCTTGAAATCGCCTAAATCTAACAATGATATTTCTTCTCAGAGACTGTTTCTGCCTGGTGTACTTTAGGATGTGGCCAAACCTCGTTCACTGGGGGCACGTGGATTGAAAATGTGGGCATAGGTCACGTGGGGCCTGTGCGCTGGGATGTCAGTCATTGCCCACGTCGAGGCCCGGCAGAATGAGCTCTCCAGCCTGCCTGGGAAGAGAGCAAGCCAGCCAGCCCTGAGGGAGAGGGTCGTCCATTCCCGTCTGCCTCTGGGGACAGAGTCAGACTAAGGCTGGAACATGGCTCGGGGCTGCATTGCCCGACCAGGACTTCACAGGTAGGACAGTGAGCAGTCAGGGCCTCCAGCCCCATCTGAGCTGAGGAGGGCAATGTGCTAATGACAGAGTTCTGCTCATTACAGACGCCGCGTCTCCCGTCCTTACCCTGTCGCTGGTAGAGGGCTCAGAGACTGTCCTCCAGGGGCTGGTCTCAGGGATATGCATCTTAATTACCTTCCGTGCAGTCTGAGTTCCCAGGGTCTGACAGTATGTTTCCTCCTTTCCTGTCACTGTCCCTTCTCCCAGGCCCCTCA